CTTAGAAAAACGAGAAGAAAAAGAATGAGTAGGATTGTTCCTTGGACCGGGTTTGGACCTAAATAAATAGGTCCGATGCCATCTAACATTCATATCTCTTATCCATCAAAACTAAAAGGATTTCTCTTTTTTTTCAGCCTTTTTAAAATTCTTAGCTGAAATAGTGATTTTTAGATTTAAAGACTTGCTGGAACCAAAATTAAGCCGAGCAACCATGTGACCTCAGCTCTTAATACTTAAATTATCATTTTAGATTTGAATATTACAATCTAAGCATAATATTATTTATTTTTTTTTAAATGATCTAATGATTTTTTAATTCCCAATCTTAAATTAAAAGTATTATATATTTATTATATTTTAGGTGTATTCTAGAATTTCTAACATAATTTAAATCATAAATATATATGAAATGAAGGAAATACAGCCTGCATAAAAATCACATATGATACATCATTTTGTTTTCTTAATCATCGCATTTGACATTTTAAAATGTGACAGTAAGAATAATATCATTATTTAAAAATATGTTTTATGTACATTTTGTTTTCCCCCTTTTTTTTTGTCGAAAGGTAATCGATTAGGTAGAAGATCCGTAATTTTCGACGAATACGATGTCGGGAAACTGCCTCGCTCCCCAAATTATCATCGCCATTACAAGGTAAAACATTGCACTATTAAGCTGGATTTATAGTACACGGCATTTTGTTCGATAGGTGCGGTATTTATACCGCTATCGAAATCACAGCTGATCCTTTACAAGGATAATAATTTTAGAAATATACGTCGCAACATATGTTATCCAAATTTTAATCATTGGCTTGATTTTGCAAATAACGCTACGTCGAATGCCGCACCGCTTAAAAAACAAACGCGTTTACTATAAATTCGCCCTTATTCTTTAAAAAGAATATATATATATATATATAAACACCGTTAAAATGGAATATTGTAGATAAGGTCAAATATTGACGATGATTCCCTCTCCAGGAAGTTGGCTAGATACTATTCGAAGAGAGGAGAAGGGAGATTAAGGAACGCCGCCGATTCAATGAGTCAAAGAATCAGATTGAATAGGAACAGTTACGAGAGTCCCGTAGGGTCTTACATGATACCTAAGCGCTACAAATCCTTTCGTTCCCTGGATTATGAAACTAGAAGCCCTGAAGAGGATTATGGCACGGTTCAAACTAACAGCGTCGACGAAGAAACATTGGCTCCTCCTGATTCGACCGAAATTCCTAACTTATTCCAACCTACTACCTTAAAGTCTATGATCAAAGGTTTTGACAATTACGAAATCAGCCAAAATAATAGAAACGGGCCTAGTTCAAGTACACTTATACCATATATTTATTTTTTAAGAATATACATTTCAGTGGCGTAAGGGACCCTTAGGAATTTTAGTTTTTCGCTAATTTTGGAATTGATTTTCATTTTTGGTAATTTTAATTGTGGATTTCCTTTTTTTTTGTGTCAAGTTTTCTTTTTTGAACTGATTCCATAATAAGATCATGGCTACGCTACTCTGTGCATTGGAGGTTTTTTAAAAAAAAATTTATATAAATTAGAAAGATCTTTCTTTCTTCCTTTCTTTCTTTCTTCCTTTCTTTCTTAAAGAGAAATTAGAGTATAATTTTTTATATATTTTATATACCAGTTGGTAAGGTCACGTGTTAAAATCTTTTATTACTCCAGAAGGTTTCAATCGTTTTTGACAATCGCCAAACTCTCACCATTTTTTAAATATTTTTTTTTCCCTAATCAGAAATTTTAATTGCAAGATAAAAAAAAAATAACAATGAAAATCACGATTTTTTTTTTGATTTAATTCAAGTTTTATAATTTTATAATTTTTTAAAAAAAATAATTTTTTTTTATAAATACATATCCTGGAAAAATACAACCTCCAACGAGATAAAAAAAAATATTATTGAGATCTTCTTTTGACATTATGAATTCACAAAATTAATCACTTCATTTTTGGGGGGAATATTGATTAAAAAGGGCATAATAATTAAGATTTGCTTAACTAATTAAATATTTTATGTTAGAATTTATGTTAGAATTTATGTTAGAATTTATGTTAGAATTTATGCTTTCTGAAAAAATTTGGGGAAAAAAAGGGAGTGCCCGACTATAGTCCGACATAATAAGAGTTTTATATTTTAAAACGAAAGAAAGAAAGAAAAAAAGAAAGAAAGAAAGAAAGAAAGAAAGAAAGAAAGAAAGAAAGAAAGAAAGAAAGAAAGAAAGAAAGAAAGAAAGAAAGAAAGAAAGAAAGAAAGAAAGAAAGAAAGAAAGAAAGAAAGAAAGAAAGAAAGAAAGAAAGAAAGAAAGAAAGAAAGAAAGAAAGAAAGAAAGAAAGAAAGAAAGAAAGAAAGAAAGAAAGAAAGAAAAGGTGAAATAAAAGATTTATTTTAAAAATCTTATTTATCGGGGAGGTTAGAAAGGGTTTTTAAACATTTCTTTCTATTATACAAAGCACAATCTTGTTTTCTAAAAAAAAAAAAAATCAATAAAAAGTAAATAAGCCTCTAGACGAGAGTTCTAACGATTGTTACGATTCTTTTAAAAACGTGGTTAAATGTTTGGGTGACGTCAACTATTTTCGGAGATCACATCCGCCATCCACTGAAGACGGTATATTCTTACGCTTTAGGCCTGACTTCGGTTCACTTCTTAAACTCTGCGTTTACGAGGGCGTGATAGGAAACTGACTTTGGGCTTTTAACATTTGAAAGGCGTTTTTAAACGCGTATTTATAAAAGTTATCCAGAAACGGCCTCTTTAGCGTCCATGTGTTTTTTCAACTTTAAATCATTTTTTTTTGGAGCGCGTTTTTTTTTTAAATTTAACCAGAAATGTATTTCATCATGTTTGGAATACCCACCATATCAAATTTCAGAGAATTTAGTCACGAACTTTCGAACTTAACAATAATTTATATTAGTTTTTTTGTCCATTGATTTATTTTTCACATAAATTACCAGAGTTGTTAAAAGGTACTTTTTAAATGGATCTAGATACAGATACATCGTCTAAAATAATATCTAGATACAGATATTATAATCAAAAATCTATCTAGATACAGATACAGATACCACATTTTTATATCTAGATACAGGATCTAGATCTCTGTAAATTACAAATGACTCAAAAGTTATCCGCAAAATTATCTATATAATTCGTAAGATATATGTATTCTAAACATGCTGTAATCGGTAAAATCAAAATTTAATATTTAAAGTTGAAAAATGTATCACATTTCTGGGAAAAAAAACGCATTTGACGCTATATATATATAATTTGTTTAAAAAAAAATAAAACTAACAATTTTATGCAAATATAAATTTTACTTTTTAAAAATGATATGTAATTATTAAAATGGAACAGAAACTATCACGAATCAATGGAATGACGAAGCGACAACAGGCGGTATTAAAATTTGCATTTAATTTTTTTTTAATCTAACTTGCGAATTCGAATTCTTTCAAGGTTGGCAACCAAGAACTCCCAAAAATTCTCACCAAAAACCTTACAATTACATGATGCCGCTCTACTTTGGTATGTGATAAAATGAAAAAATATTAGTTTTGCCTTTAAAAAAAAAAATTGTGCGCTCATTTTAACGTCGCATCTATATGGTAAAGCGGGATTTGTTTAAGCGACGCGAAGTTAAATGCGAAATCAGAGATGATTTATCTTCTTTTTTTTTTGAAATATGCGTAAACAGCTTTCACGATTTAATTTCGAATACTAGAGAGAGATGATGAAATGGCGACAGCTGTTTACGTATATTTTCAAATATTTCTCGGAAGAAT